GTTCATCGTGATTCATATAATTGCGTTGACTATGAATCATTGTAATACGAATAAAATTATCCATTGTAAAATTGTTATAAATAGATTCATTGTGATTTTTAGATGTTGTAGGGAGCTAGATTTATGTGTAATGTTTTAATCCTAGTAACTACAATGTTTCGATGTTAGTATCATGAATACAAAAATTATCTGATTTACTCTAAACTTCAAAAAGTAAAAATTAATTTGTGTAGCTCAAAATGCTTAATATCGTAATACATTTCAAAAGGATTTTACCAGGTGATGATATTATTTCAAAAGGAGTAACTATAACCTACTTTTAGTAATATCATGTTTTTTCTTAAATTTCGCCTAAACTTCATAGAGATAGTGCATTATTGGTTAGACTTTAAGCCTTGTCTACAGTCTTAATTTTTCTTAAAACATCATTATGTTACCAATCATGTTGTAACTTTAATTCTTTAAATTTCAAACCTACATCGTTTGTTACCAATCATGTTTTTGCTTTAATTCTATAAGCTACAGCCTCTTCAATTTTTTTTAAAATTTCTTTTGTTGTAACATGTAAAATCTTACAACCCCATTTTTATGGCTGTACACTCTTATTGTTTTTAAAAAATTATTTTTAAAAAATGGAAAAATCAATTTTTTTTTTTTGTGTACTTTTGTCTCCATCTTCTCTTCATGAATGTTTTCTGTGTTTTTTATTTACTCTACACATAGAGATCTATACATAGCTTTAATGATGTTACTTATTATGAATGATTCAGAAGTTCATTATTTATTATGTTCAAATCAACATAAAATTTCTAAATTATAACAATTTTTATTTGCATAAATTAATTTAATTAAAACTACAGCACATATCTTATAGTTACCAATCGTGTTTTTATTTTAATATTACAGCTACAGCTTAATATGTACAGCAAAAAAATCTGCAGCCTAAAAAATGTACAGCTATAGCCAAAACATTTACAGCAAAAATTCTACAGCAATTAATCTACAGCTACAGCCGAACCAATCACCCACATAGTCATCCAAATTCACAAAATCTCTAACCAATCAGTC